GTGTTGAAGTCTCCTACTACTATTGTGGAGCTGTCTATCTCTCTTTTCAGTGCTGTTAGAGTTCATTTTATGTATTTCAGAGCCCTGTCATTGGGTGCAGAAATATTTATTATAGCTATGTCCTCCTGGTGTATTGACCCTTTAATCCTTATATAGTGCCCTTCCTTACCCTTTGTGGTGGATTTTACTTTAAAGTCTATTTTGTCAGAGATTAATGTTGCCACTCCTGCTCTTTTTTGAGTGTTGTTTGCTTGATATATTTTTTTCCATCCTTTGAGTTTTAATTTGTTTGTGTCTTTAAGTCTAACATGTGTTTTTTGTAGGCAGCAAATAGACAGATCATGTTTTTTTATTCAATCTGCCACTCTCTGTTTATTGGTGCATTTAGTCGATTTACATTCAGTGCAATTATTGATAGGTATGAGTTTAGTGCTGTCCTTTGGATGTCTTTTTTTGTGTGTTGTACACAGTTTTTCTTTGTTCCACTTAATTTTCTGTGCTGAGTTGTTTTTCTTTATGTATTTTCTTTTCATCTTTTTCATTGTTGATTTTGTGTTTGCTGAGTCTTTATATTTTTCTAGTTTTTTATTTTGACTTGTAGGATTGTTAGATTCCTTTGTGGTTACCTTAATATTTACCCCTATTTTTCTAAGTTTATACCAGTCTTTTATTTCTTTATATCACCTTGACTTCCTCTCCATAAGCAAAGTCTATGTCTACCTTTTTTAAGTCCCTCTTTTCTGTTTCAATGTTGTCCTCTTTTACATATTGACATCTGTTTCCCTATTTTCAGTGTTTTAGCTTTGATTTACTTTTGTGACTTCCCTATTTGGGTTGACATCTGGTTGTGCTGTCCTTTGTTCTACTCTTGGGTTGTTAGCTGATGTTACTGATTTTCTAACCGGAGGACTCCCTTTAGCATTTCTTGTAATTTTGGTTTGGTTTTTGCAAATTCCCTAAACTTCTGTTCATCTGGAAATGCCTTAATTTCACCATCGTATTTGAAAGATAGTTTTGCTGAATATATAATTCTTAGATGTCAGTTTTTTTCCTTCAGGGCTTTACATATGTCATCCCATTGCCTTCTTGGCTGCATGGTGTCTGCTGAGTAGTCTGAGCTTATTCTTATTGACTCTCCTTTGTAGATGACTTATCATTTATCCCTATCCACTCTTAAAATTCTCTATCTTTGGTTTTGGCAAGTCTGATTATAATATGTCTTGGTGACTTTCTTTTGGGATCTACCTTATGCGGGGTTCGATGAGCATGTTGAATAGATATCTTGTCATCTTTACGATATCAGGGAAGTTTTCTGCCAACAAATCTTCAACAATTCTGGATGTATTTTCTGCTATCCCCCCTATTCTGGTACTCCAATCACTCATAGGTTATTCCTCTTGATAGAGTCCCACATAATTCTTAGGGTTTCTTCATTTTTTTAAATCCCTTTTATCTGATTTTTCCTCAAATAAGTTCGTGTCAAGTGCTTTGTCTTCACTCTCACTAATTCTGACTTCCATTGCCTCAATTCTGTTCCTATGACTTTCTATTGAGTTGTCTAATTCTGAAATTTTATTGTCAATCTTCTGGATTTCTGATTGCTGTCTCTCTATGGATTCTTGCAGCCTGTTAAATTTGTCCTTATGCTTTTCTCTCATCTTTTTAATTTCCTCTATTGCATGTTCTGTGTTTTGCTTAATTTCCTTCCTAATTTCTTGAAGAGTTCTGTATATTAATCTTTTATATTCTGCCTCCGGTAATTCCAAGAAATTTTCCTCCTCTGGAAAATTTCTAGATTCTTTATTTTGGGAGCTTGCTGAAGCCATCATGAATTGCCTGTTTATGTGATTTGATATTGACTGTTGTCTCTGAGCCATCAATAAGTTATTATATTTATTTATTTTATGTTTGCTTACCGTGTCCTAGCTCCTTGTTTTGTTTTGATATGCCCAAATAGGCTTCTTGTATCAGCCAGTTTGATTCTTAGCACCTTTGAAGCTCTAATGTCCTGTCACCAGGTGGTTAGATCTGTTACTAGGTATGTGAGCTCAGGAGTCTGCCCACTCCTCCTGTATGGATTCAGCTACGGTGCCCAGGTAGATAGCCACCAAGTGTGTGGTATAGGCTCTCACCTACAGCCCTAGACAGGCATGGGTGATTGGTGTAGGCACAGGCATCTGGCTGCAACAGGGGGACACACTCTGAGCAAGGCAAGGGGCTGATGGCCACCCTGAGTGTCCAGGAGGAAGGCATGTCCCATTTGCCTAGAGCATATAGGTGGGTGGGTTTTGCAGCTAGACTATGAGGACCTAATTCTGTTGGCTGTAAGGACTAGGGGGCACCTCTTATTCTTGGGCCCCTATCGCAGGTGGCCAGGTGGCATGGGGGGAGCCACCAGTCCTCAGGCCCCTGATATGGGTAGGTGAAGACCCTGCTTAATAGGCAGAGCAGTGTCAAATGTCAAGAACCTGCCACTTCACTGCTGAAACAGTTCAAGTTAGACTTCAGGTATATCCCTGTTGCATTGTGATAATGAGGGCCTACATTGTTGAAATGTGCCCACAAGTCTCTGCAGGGGGAAAGGCACTCAACGTCCCTGGATCCCTTATGCCTGTGCCTAGGCAAAGGACCTGTGCCTACCCTGGGTTCCTGGCTTAGGGGAGTCAGCAGTTTATTTTTCCTGCTCTTTGTTAATTTGTTCACTCTCCAAGGCTAGGAGAATGGCTCAGGGCATGTGATGGATCGTACTTCCGGCCCAGGGGACTTGGTGATTGCTGAAGCCAGTCCAGGACTCAGTGCAGAGCAGGGAGCAGGGAGGTAAATGGGAGAGAAGTTTTTCCCTAAGGGGGGTGTTTTTGATCTGCGCAGTAGGTTGTATGCAAGTACTTATCTTTTGCTGATCTAGAGCTGCTTCTCACTGGTTCTGGGTGGCCAAGTAGACTCTCTGCAGCTGGGTCTCTCCCAGTGTGGAATACGGCTCCTGAGCACCGCTGCTTCCCTGCCTCACCAGTCACCCATGAGGTGATCAGGCCTGAAGGGCTCAGGCTCTTGCGGGGTCAGGTCTGGCAACTCCTTGTTGCTTCTGAACAGTCTCTCCATCCCCTGCCACTCAGTCCAGTTCCTCAACTTTGCCTTAGATGTTCAGGGCTCCTAGACTGTCATATATGATTGATTCACTTGTTTTTTTGGGTCTTTGTTGTAAGAGAGTCCACGGGAAGTGTCTAACTACTCCGCCACCTTGTCTTTTTTACTTTATTTTTTATGTAAACCCTCCAATGCAATAGTTATGAACCTTTTTAAGATCATAGATATGTATAAGTATTTTGATAAAAGTTATGAACAGTCTGCCCAGAAACATACACAAAATCCCATGTTTACAAAGCTATGAAAATAATTTCAAAGTTAAGATTAAGAACTCCTGCTTTAATACCTACTTCCAGTTTTACCTATATTATTCAAGCACCAATACAAATGTACCACCCCATTTTAGCCGCATTGGTATCTGATCTATTCCTAAAACCTAAGCTACTCTGTATCTTTCACCTTCAACTTTTTGGTTTCTTCAATATGACTCACTCACTCATTCATTGTTTATTAATTAAGCATTTACTGTACTCCTGTTACATGCCTGATATTGTATGACATACTGAGGCTACAAAGGTAAATAAGACTCAATCTTTGCCTTCAAGGGGCTGTCAGCCTCCTCAGGAAGATACATATGTAAACAAATAATTTATATACAGTGTGATAAGTGCTATGATAAAGGCATGTGTAGGTAGGATGCACAAAAAAATAATTTAAAAAAAAAGGAATGGGAAAGTTTCCTGAAGGATGTGAGGCCTACCCAGTATTTTCAGAACCAGCATAAACTATCAAGCCAATGAAAGTCTGCCGGTGAGGTGGACAGAGAAGAAGATGAAGGAGATATAAGGACAGAGCATTCCAGATGGAGAGAACAATATAAAGAATTGTTAAATATTTAAAAAATAATGGTATTACTCTCAATAACAACATAAACACTCACTTAAAACCAATATTAAAATAAATATCTACTTCTCTCTAAAAAAGCATGTAATATTATTCATTTATTTATTTTGGATTCTCACCTACTATCCAGAACTGGAACGGTACTGTTGCTCTGTACATTATAAATTGCAATTGAGCCATTGTAATAAGCAACTGCTAAAAGGTGAGGTGATCCAACAGAAAAATCCACAGCAGTAACTCCATGTAGACTCTGATATATACGTTCTGGCCACTGAATAAAAAGAAAAAAATTTTTTCGTTTTAAACTTCTTTTTATAGGTCACAGTAAGGGAGTTGATTATTAATCCATCTGTAATGGGAATACAGTGAAGAATTTTAAGTAGGAGTTTAATATGACTTGATTTATGCTTTTAAAAAAATCACTCTGGATGCTATGTAGAGAACAGAGTATAGTGGGCAAAAATTGAGGCAGAATGATCCATTAACTGTTGCAGTAGTCTAGGTAGGATAAGATCGATCGTGGCTGAGACAAGGTTGGTGGCAGTGGGGATGTGAGAAAGGCTCATCTACATTCAGTTACTCCTATCTAACTTCCAGTAGATTGGAATAATACCTCAATTTCCTTTACTTCATAAAACCATGGCTCCTCCGAGCTCAACAGCTTTAAGAAATACAGCATGGACTTCTACAATAATTATCAAATTTTGGTAATCGTTCAGTAAGATTAGTATGATCTTCACGGATCTGTCTTCTTATAGAAACAAATAATGGGCCCCAAACAAATCATCTAATAGATGATACTGCCTTCCAATATCTGTTTCATATGTTTGGATTATGTAATCATTTCTAAACAATGGGTAGAAGTTCCAAAACTCTCTAATATACTCTGTTCTACAAATCTGTCAAGAGTGTGTGTGTGTGTGTGTGTGTGTGTGTGTGTGTGTGTGTGTCTGTGTCTCCTTTTAATTTCGAATGTAAATCCTTTCCTGTTTCTAACCACCTACGTGGGGCAAGGAGACAAGCTACTGATGATGGATCTAATGTCAATACTTCCACATGTTTAAAACTGCTTCTTCCATTCTTTCATGCTATATAAACCCAACTTACTAACATACTGGAGCTATTTATAAAAACTTTAATAATTTTCGTATGCTCTTCTGGCCCTTCTCTGTTTTCCACTTTACATTTAGTTGTGGATTAAAACTAAATGTAAAGCTGAAAAGTAACAGATTGACCCATGTTGTTTAGCAAAAAAGATGACTGTGATTCTTATCATTCTTCTTGAAAAATGCATGGCAGTAAGACAGTTATATTAATTTATTTTATATCTGCTGAAGATAGCAGAGATCAGGTGATAAGGAAATACTCATATATTTAAGAAGCAACCCAGTAGTAAAAGACACATGTAATTTTCAAAGGATTTTCATTTGCAAATTTATTCTTCTTTATAATTAGCTGTGATTAACCATAATTGTTCAGCTCTGCATCATCAGATATAATAGCACAGTCAATGCTCAATAAATATTTATTAAATGAATTTGTGAATGAATTTCCTTTACCCTATGTTAACAAGAACAAATTTTAATTATTATGAATATAAACCAAAGAAAATAAAGAACAAAAGTCTTGATTGATAAAATTCTCTTGATTTTAATTTATCACATACAACTACATATAATCTAAGAGAATTATGTCAACATTTAATTAATTGAATAAAAACAGGTCTTATTCTTGTTTGGATTACCATGGGATTTTTTAGAGACCAGCAGCAAGCCAATCCTCTTTTTTGCTCTTTAAATCCAAAGTGCCCATAGCCAACAGCCACAAGGTCCTGAAAACCAAAAAAAAAAAAAATACATTTAAAATAAGATAGCATAAAAAATGCTGGCAAATGTATAAAGATCTACATTGAACAACTGTGTTATAATTTTCAATTAAGAGGAAGAAAATACCAGTATGTTATCTATTTTTACTCTACATTTCCATCTTCCTAAGCAAAATAATAATAATAATCAGTATGATGCTTCTCACCTTTCAGACTAAAGAATAAGCATCTAAAAAGAATCAACTGCTAACAAGTTCTTTCAACATGTTGAGGTAATTTCCAAGATTATATTATGGTATTACAATATCTTTTGAATTTTTGAGGATGACCTAATCATTTCAAATGTAAAATAAAAGACACTTAAGTTAAAGGCAGGTCATTTCAAGAAATGCATTTATAAGTACACATAGACAAAAGTTTAATGATTGACCAAACTCAGCCTCTGCTTTGTTATCAGAACACCTTTATGAAAATTCATCATATTTTCTTGCCACCACCCTACTTTCAGGCCAACGTCATTTCTCAGTCATTCCCTCTGTCTTAAAATACTCTTCACTAGACTTCCTACCTCAACATTAACAGATTCCTATTCCTCTCTTCTAGACTCAGCATAGGCACCACTTCCTCTGAGAAGCCTTCAAGAGCCTCTCTTTTGTTACCACAGCGCTATTTATTTTCCTTATCAGAGCACACAGCAAACTATTTTATAGACAGGGTCTATGTATGATTCAATTATTAGTGTATCTCTAGTGCTTAACAGAGTGATTGGCATAGAGTGAGCAGTCAATAAATATTTGTAGAATGAATTAATAAATATTATAAATACCATCTATCAGGTGTTTTTATCTTCTTTCAAAATTATTTAATTTCAATCTCAAAGCAAAGTATTAATTTTAAAAATGCTAGTATGTTCAGTTTATGAAAAGGTTTCATCTACCTTCATTTACAGACTGTTAGTATTGATTTATTAAATCTCACTTATCTATAAAATGTTGCCAAATATAGTTTCATAAAGACAAATTCATACTAAAATTACTTTCTTTTATTCAAAAATAATCACACATAATTAAAATAATGTGTTATTTAGGTTTCAAGAAAGATCATTATAAACTTTCTGTTGTTTAATAACCACAACAACAATAAAGTGTGACTATAAAAAATAAGGCTAATTCTTAAACATACACACTACAGATTAAACAAATTAGTTTTAACTTCTTTAAAAATATACTAAATATTTCAAAATATTTTTTAAAATGTTACCATTACACATAAGCTTTTTGGAATCGCTAACTGGGAAATGTCTTCAGATATTTATAAACCCCAGGAGAAAAACCAGTCTCATTCTATAATCATCTTGTTTTTAAAAGCAAACATACCATCTCCCCGCTTCAGGACTCACCTAACTTGCCTCAAGATGACTTTTGTCTGTGCAGTAATTAAGAGCAAAAACTTGGGAGCCAGATATCTGCATTTGAATTCTGGATGTTTCACTTACCAGTTGTGTCATTTTGGGCAAGTTATTTATCCTTTATGGGCTTCTGTCAACATAATGGAGAAAATAATAGTACTGACCTCATAGGGTTGTTGTGATTAGTTGGCATCAAGTTGGCTCTGACTCATGGTGGCTTTATGTAGAACAGAATGAAACACTGCCCAGTCCTGCACCATCGTCATGATCATTGGTAGCTTTGAAGGTTGTGTATACAGTAAGTGCTATTTAAGTATTTGCTGCTATTAGTGGTAACAGTATTTTAGGAACCTCACAATTATTTTACACATTTGCAGGGGCAATGAATTAAGTATATACTTCAGAATATGAATACTTCGGGGAGAATACAAATTTGGGTGTATCAGGTTTTGCTGTGTTAAAATGAATCAGCCATATATTATCTATTTCATTTTTCAATATCTGCCATGAATTTAGAGAAGTCCATATCCCAAGTACATCCTAAAATAATAATGGGATGTTTATATACTAAAGGAGAAAATATTATTTTATAACTATTTTCATGTTCCTTTTTTTTGAAAGATAACCTTATTTTAAGATACATTTTAAAACCAGGGGTTATGTTGATTTAAATCCTTTGCCCAATTATCTGAGAAAAAGAATTCTTCATTAAAACCTGACAGTTGCCCTGAAATGCTAGAGACAGAATTTTTTTTTTTAATGTTTGATAACTTACTGGGTTTGCTTTATTCCAGGCAAGGCTGCTCACATTTAGACCTTTGGTTAAGTCGCAGGAAAATGACCAAAGTCTTTCCAGATTGGCTGGAATTGTTGATTGTTCTGCACCTATTTCGATTTCTTCTTCTTCATCCTTCTTAACTTCCTCCTCTACCTCTTCAAGTTCTTCACCTGGTAACAAGTCTTCAGGTTCTTCAGGTTCAGGTTCTAAAACAAAATTAAATAAAAAGATCATTGTGCACTAGTAAAGTGATAGTTTTGACTCATATTCTAATGCCTCAGTAGAACTGCTAAAAACACATATCTGCCCTAATAAAAAGTGATAAATTTGTTTTTATTTTATTAAACTCAAAAAAATATTAGACAGGCTACTAAAAGAATTGAGGGAAGTGGTGGTTCAGTGGTAGAATTTTCATCTTCCATGTGGGAAACAAGAGTTTGATTCCCAGCCAATGCACCTCACTTGTCTGTCAGTAGAAACTTGTGTGTTACTGTAATGCTGAACAGATTTTCGTGGAGCTTCCAGACTAAGGTAGACTAGGAAGAACGGCCTGGTGATCTACTCCCAAAAATCAGCCAGTGAAAGCCCTATGGATCACAACAGTGTGAGCCAGCTGTGCACGGGGTATCCATGAACTGGGGGCCGACTTGATGGCAGCTAACAACAACAACAAACAAAAAAGAATTACAAATGAAATAATCAAAAAGCATTTTAAGCATATATATTTTCTTAAACAATTAGATATCATGTAGAGATTTTAGTGGTAACCTTTTTTGGTTAGCAGCCTGAGCGCTTAACCACTGCACCACTAGGGCCTCATTTTTGATAATTTTGTGAACACTGTGACACACTTATCAAAAACTTAGAAAAATTAACATATGCATATAACCTAAAATTCTGCACATGATTTCAGGAGGTTCACTGAACCTATAAAGCTGGTCATGAACCACAACAAAGATTGCCTATGTAGAAAATACAAGCAAATCTACAAAAAAGCTACTAGAACTAGTAAGTTTAGCATAGTTGCTCAATATACAAAAATCAACTGTATTTTTATATATACTAGGAATGAATAATCAAAAATTTAAATTTAAAAATAACACCATTTACAATATCACCAGAAAATATGAAATAGGGATAAATCTGACAAAAAATATGAAAGATCTGAACATTGAAACTATGAGAGAAATTTAAGAAGACCTAAATAAACGTAAGGTAAACAGATTCATGGGTGGAAAGACTCAATATTATTAACTTGACAATTCTCTTCAAATTGATCTATAGAGTCAATAAAATCTCAACCAAAATCCCAGCAGTCTTTTTTTTTTTGTAGAAATTGACGAACTTATTCCAAAATTCATGTGGATATTTAAAACAATCACGAATAGCCAAAACAACATTGATAAAGAACATAGTTGAAGGACTCACTCTACCTGATCCTAAGACTTGTTATAAAGCTATAGATATCAGGACGGTGTGCTACTGACATAAAGATAAACAAGTAGATTAATGGAACAGAATAGAGTCCAGAAATAGACCCATGCATATATGGTGAACTGACTTTTTATTAAGATGCAAAGGCAGTTCAGTGGAGGAAAAATATCATCTCTTCAACAAATGGTGCTAGAAAAATTGGATATCCATAAGTAAAAATGTAAACTTGGATCCATACCTTGCACCATATATAAAAATGAACTCAAAGTGGATCACATACCTAAATGTAAAACATAACACTATTAAACTCCTAGAGGAAAACATAGAAGAAAACGTTTGTGACCTTGAGTTAGGTCTTAAATAATACAACACCAAAAGCACAAGTCATTTAAAAAAAAAAGACAAACTGGACTTCATCAAAATTTTAAACTTCTTTTTCAAAATGCATACGTTAAACTTCTGGTTTCAGCTCAGAGGTGTGAAGAGCTGAAAACAGCATAGTTCCCACCCTAACAACAAATAAATATTAGACGAACTGCAAATGACTGACTTCTCTTGAGCCCTCCAGAGAACTAAGATTCTTAAAGCAAACAAACTAAGCTGAAAAATGGAGAAAGAAAGGACACAAGCATTTGCCTACCAGTGGCGGATGCCACCAACTGTCATATAAACCAATAAGAAGATTCAGCTAGAAAATTTTAATGAACTGCTGAAGGCCAAGTGTAGACGACATGAGAATGTAAAGTCCCTGGAAGCTGCAGACATAAGAGTGTTAACTCACTCTTGCAGGATTTTGCTTGAGGAAACCTCCCCCCAGGGAAGATTAGAGAGAATGCTTAGAAAGCTTCCTACCTAGCGCTGGCTGCTGGAGGGAAGCAGCAGCCACAGCCCTATCTCTGCCTAGACAGATCACCACTTCAATTGCAAGAAAAAGGGCAACAAAGAATGTAGCCTAAGACTGATGGTAAAAACCCAGTGCAGACAGGTGAGGGTAACAATAATAATAACAACAAAAAATCTCTGCCCTTGGAGAACAGGCAGGAATACTTACTAGGACCAGAATTAGATCTGAAAGATGAACAAGAACATTAGTGAAGGCTACATCCTTGAGACCCAGGTTCAAAGTGTCCGCCTAAAACAAGTTTAATCAGAACATCAAATAATATCGCACTCCCCAGAATACATCACCACCATAACACAAGTAGAGTAAAAATAAGAATGAAATACAGCTGGTAGAATACAAGGGACAGATTCTTTAAAGAGAAGTCCAAAGGGAAGACCCAACACCAAGCAGGCAGACAGCCCCCAAAGTAAGAGGAGTACAGATATTTAGAAAAAACCTTCTGGAAAATTCCAAAAAAAAAAAAAAAAAATCCATTGAGTCAATTCTGACTCATAGCGACCCCAAAGGACAGGGCTGAATTTCCCCATAAGGTTTCCAAGGCTATAATCTTTTTTATCATGCTTTAGGTGAAAGTTTACAGCTCAAGTTAATTTCTCATACAAAAATTTATACATATATTGTTATGTGACATTAGTTGCAATCCCTATAATGTGACAGCACACTCCGCCTTTCCACCCTGGGTTTCTTGTGGCCATTCAACCAGTTCCTTTCCCCTTCTTCCTTCTCATCCTGCCTCCAGACAGGAGATGCCCATTTGGTCTTGTGTATCTGCTTGAACTAAGAAGCCCACTCTTCATGAGTATTATTTTATGTTTTATAGTCCAGTCTAATCTTGGTTTGAAGGGTGGGCTTCAGAAATGGTTTCAGTTCTGGGTTAACAGTGCCTAGGGGCCATGGCTTCGAGGGTTCCTCCAGTCTCACTCAGACCATTAAGTCTGGTCTTTTTACGTGAATTTGAGTTCTGCTCCACACTTTTCTCCCGCTCCGTCAAGGACTCTCTGTTGCGTTCCCTATCAGCGAGGTCACTGATGGTAGCCTGGCATCACTCTAGTTCTTCTGGTCTCAGGCTGATGGAGTCTCTGGTTTATGTGGACCTTTTGTCTCTTGAGCTAATATTTTCCTTGAGTCTTTGGTGTTCTTCATTCTCCTTTGCTCCAAGTGAGTTGGGACCAATTGATGCAACTTAGATGCCCGCTTAAAGGTTTTAAGACCCCAGGCACCACTCACCCAAGTGAGATGCAGAACATTTTCTTAATAAACTTTGTTATGCCAATTGACCTAGATGTCCCCTGAAACTATGGCCCCCAGACCCCAGCCCCAGCTACTCTGTCCCTCAAACTATTTGGTTGTGTTCAGTAAACTTCTTAGCTTTTGGTTTAGTCTAGTTGTGCTGACTTCCCCTCTACTGTGTGCTGTCCTTCCCTTCACCTAAGATGATTCTGGTCTACTATCTAGTTAGTGAATCCCCTCTCCCTCCCTCCCCACCCTCCTAACCATCAATGAATGTTTTCTTCTGCGTTTAAACCTTTTCTTGAATTCTTACAATAGTGATCTCATACAATATTTGTCCTTTCACAACTAATTTCACTTAGCATAATGCCCTCCTGATTCATCCATGTTGTGAGATGTTTTGCGAATTAATCATTGATCCTTATCCTTGCATAGTATTCCATTGTGTGTATGTACCGTAATTTGTTTATCCATTCATCTGTTGATGGGCACCTAGGTTGTTTCCATCTTTTTCCTACTGTGAGCAGTGCTGCAATGAACATGGGTGTGCATATATCTATTTGTGTGATGGCTCTTATTCCTCTAGGATATATTCCAAGGAGTGGGATTGCTGGATCATATGATACTTCTATTTCTAGCTTATTAAGGAAGTGCCAAATCAATTTCCAAAGTGGTTGTACCATTTTACATTCCCACCAGCAAAGCGTAAGTGTTCCAGTCTCTCCAACATTTATTATTTTGTGTGTTTTGGATTAGTGCCAGCCTTGTTGGGATGAGATGGTATCTCACTGTAGTTTTGATTTGCATTTCTCTAATGGCTAATGATGGTGAGCATTTCCTCATGTATCTGTTAGCTGTCTGAATATTTTCTTTGGTGAAGTATCTTTTCATATCCTTTGCCCATTTTTTAATTGGGTTACTTATCTTTTTGTTATTGACGTGTTGCAGTATCTTGTAAATTTTAGAGATTAGACCCTGATCAGATATGTCTTAGCCAAAAATTTTTCTCCCAGTCTGTAAGTTGTCTTTTTACTCTTTTGGTGAAGTCGTTTGATGAGCATAAGCATTTGATTTTTAGGAGCTCCCAGTTATCTACTTTCTCCTCTGGTATTTGTGTATTGTTAGTTATGGTTTGTATTCTGTTTATGCCAGGTATGAGGGCTCCTAGCATTGTCCCTATTTTTTCGTCCATCATCTTGATCATTTTAGATTTTATATTTAGGTTTTTGATCCATTTTGAGTTAGTTTTTGTACATGGTGTGAGGTATGGATCTTATTTCATTTTGTTGCAGATGGAGATCCAGTTATGCCAGCACCATTTGTTAAAGAGACTATCTTTTCCCCATTTAATGGACTTTGGGCCTTTGTCAGATATCAGCTGCTCATAGGTGGATGAATTTACATAGGATTCTCAATCCTGTCCATTGGTCTATGTATCTGTTGTTGTACCAGTACTAAGCTGTTTTGACTACTGCGGCAGTATAATAGTTTCTAAAATCAGGTAGTGTGTGGCCTCCCACTGTGTCCTCCTTCTTCAGTAATTCCTTACTTATCCAGGGCCTCTTCCCTTTCCATGTGAAGTTGGTGATTTGTTTCTCCATCTCATTAAAAAGTGTCATTGGAATTTGGATTCAGATT